TTTGGACTTTACAATTATGTGTACAATAGTCTAGTTTGCCTGCATGTAACAGTGTGTTTCAGTTCTTAATGTAGTCAGGTTTTGTGGAGTTGATTGTTCAGTGCTCTTATGACTGTATGTGTGTTAGATCATCATGTTCCGTAACTTCATCCTCACGGAGGAATGTCCTCTACAGGAAAACCTGGAAACATTGTGTCCCAGCCCACAGCTCAGGAAGTGTGTTTTCTGACCTGTGTGTGCGCGCGCTGATAGTTGGTCTTGCTTCTGTAAGAGAGTATTCTAAGACTGGCTGAATTCCCAGCAGGTTTGAGATGTGGTTGCTATGGGAACAGCAGAGCGAGGTGATTGTTCTGTATAACCACTGGGAAGGTACCTGTCAATCATGGTGTCGGCGAGGACAGCCGGGTCTAATGGAAACACATGTTTAACTCAAGGAGAAGAGACAGTTATGCAGGTGCTGGTGTGTGTGGGTGGTCACATCTTCTTGCCTTATTGCACTGTTCTTCAGCGGTAACATTATGATGCTGGTTTTAATTTTGTTTAAATTGAATAAAAAGATATTCAACGGCAAATACCTTTTTATCAACAGAAATGAAATAAATTGCTGTTTGACATCTCTGACTGAAAAACACGACCTGTGGTGAAGGACGTGTTTTCATTTGAAGTAAAAGTACAATTTTGTTCATCAATAAAGCAGAAAATAATTCAAATGAATTAATAAATTATTATTATTATTTTATTTATTTATTTATTATTTATTATTATTTGACTAGTTAATCAGTCTAAAAATTACATGGTACTTTTTTTCTCAACATGGCACCATGGTGGTAATTTGCAAAAATAAAAAATGTATTCAATTTAAATTTAGGATATTTATATTTAAATTTTTTACAATTATTATAATCATATTTTAAATTCTAAAATGTGTATTTAAAAATAATTTTGTGCCATATTTTGTCAAATACTTTATGTAAATAAATTTTCATTTATGAATTATAATCATATAATAAATTCTAAAATTAATAATTAAATGTATATTTAAAAATCCTTCTGCTATATTTTTGTCATACTTGAATTAATTAATTTTACCTTTAATGAATCCTTTATGGTGATAATTAGTAGTCATAGGGCACCATGGTAATAATTTTCAAATAAATAAATAAATGTTATAGGTTACATTTAAATAAATGTTGTCTTATAAGACCTGTGTGTGTTTGTTGGTATGTTTGTGCATTTATTTTTTTGTTCTGCCTGAACATACAGATGGTTGACACTTGTAAAACGGTCTTCTCCTGAGGGAAGCAGGATTGAAACCACTGATCCTCACATTAATCTAGAACCACACACATAGCAGCCACAAGGACTGTTGTTGGATGTCAATTCAAGCAGACACTCGCTCTCAGTCTCTCACAGCTGCGTTCCTTCACATCTTATATCTTTAACAAACAGACACTCACACACTGAGAGAAAGTGAAAGCCATCTCTTCCAGATCAAACTACACGGCTCCTCACTGTTGAATTCTCATTAGACATCGCCACTGGGCTTGATGGAAACTTGATTGAAGTTTAATAATCTGCTGTTGAAGGGTTTTAGCAGGATAATGTGAGACCTTTGCACTTCCACCTGCTTCTTTTTCATTCATTTTTTGTTTAGCTTTTTAAAATCTTTGTTTCGCTTTTTAAAATCTGTTTTGAAAGCGATCATGATCTGAGAGAAGATGTGTTTAGGTATGCTAGGTTAACCAGATGTTCGGCTACAGCTTTCCTGGGTAACATCCTAGTTTTGTTGTTGTGGCACTGCTCACTATAGAGGTTTTATGTTGTTATCATTTGCCCTTTTGTCTATCAATTTGTACTTATCCTTTACTACTAATAGTAATCATTATTACTAGTGTGCCATTGAAAACTTGATCGAAGTGGACAACCTTCAGGAGCGACCACAAGCATGCCATCATTTATGAGACGACCAGGGTGTCTCAGGGTGTGTTCACACCAGGAAAGTCCGCTGGTTCACTTGCTTTGGTCTGGACCAAATACAATGTTGATTTTTTTTTTTTGTTTGGTGTGGTTCGGTTTCACACTGCCCTTTTTTGCAAATGAACCACAAATTGTAAACAAAATCACACGTGTGCTAAGGTCATCCATTCATTGGACAGAAATTCTCAAGCAGGGAAAAACAGGAAGTGCAAAAACAGGCTAACGATGGAGATCTTTCGTAGTGCAATTTTTATTCTTTTACTGATTTGGTGTTATCAGATACTAATGCAATATGAGGAAACTTATGAGCATCATATGAGACAATGTCATACGATATTGTAATTACGACTTAAAATAAAGAAAACAAATAGGAGCGCTTCACAAAAATGCACTGAAACTCAGCGAATATTTTCCTTACAGACACGATGAATATATCTATAGAAAGCTTTAAAGGGGTCATATGATGCAATTTCAAGTTTTCCTTTCTCTTTGGAGAGTTATAATCCGTAAATGTGCATTTCTTTCTAAAGGTGAATCCAATGATGAGATGGCGAGTCAGGATCATCAACTTCATTGCGACACTGACTCATAAAACACTAGTATATTAATAAATAATTCAAATATCTCATTACTATTTTCCCCCAACGTAGTCATGGTAGTTTTTGTGGCAAGCTTTAGCCTATTTAGCATGGTCAATAAAACTCATAATTTGCATGTGCTTTTAAGCATTGTGGTTTAAAAACAAGTGATTTAAGCCATTGAAATGCAAATTTAAACTATATGCGTGAGCTGTCTGTTTCTGAGCGTGATTTCTGCAATTGGGTTGGATCGAGGTCGGGTCATATTCACACCTTAAACGAACTGTACCAGAGTTCGTTTGGAAGTGGACCGAGACCACCTCTTCAGCTGGGTCTCGGTACAGTGGTTTGGTCTGCACCCGAGTGCGATTGCTGTATTCACACCTGCCAAAAAGATCCGCACCAAGAGGGGAAACGAACTTGTGTTCTATTCAATTGAACCAAACAAGACAGGTGTGAATACACCCTCAGGTTCATCTGAACAGTCTTCCCTCTTCATAAATGTTTGATGACTAAATGCAGTTTACAGTATGACAAATCATAATATACTATTGTTCATAGTTGATCATTCATTTCTCCTATTTGCCATGAGCAAAATACACAGGGCAACTTTTAAATTCATTAATAATAATATAGGCAAAATTAATGATTTATTGACCACTGGGAACGGAGACGTTACGTCAGTCGTGACTGACGAATTGGGATCTCGCCCGAGAGGAATGGCAGCAGGTTGGTGTGAGAGCATCTGCACGCACAGTGAGGCGAAGACTTTTGGAGGATGGCCTGGTGTCAAGAAGGGCAGCAAAGAACCCACTTCTCTCCAGGAAAAACATCAGGGACAGACTGATATTCTCCAAAAGGTACAGGGATTGAACTGCTGAGGACTGGGTTAAAGTCATTTTCTCTGATGAATCCCCTTTCTGATTGTTTGGGGCATCTGTAATAAAGCTTGTCCGGAGAAGAAAAGGTGAGCGCTGCCATCAGTCCTGTGCCATGCCAACAGTAAAGCATCCTGAGACCATTCATGTGTGGGGTTGCTTCTCAGCCAAGGGAGTGGACTCACTCACAATTTTGCCTAAGAACACAGCCATGAATAAAGAATGGTACAAAAACGTCCTCCGAGAGCAACTTCTTCCAACCATCCAAGAACAGTTTGGTGATGAACAATGCCTTTTCCAGCATGCTGGAGCACCTTGCCATAAGGCAAAAGTGATAACTAAGTAAAAACTTCTAAATTTTGGGTCCATGGCCAGGAAACTCCCCAAACCTTAATCCCATTGAGAACTTGTGGTCAATCCTCAAGAGGCGGGTGGACAAACAAAAACCCACAAATTCTGACAAACTCCAAGCATTGATTATGCAAGAATGGGCTGCCATCAGTCAGAATGTGGCCCAGAAGTTGATTGACAGCATGCCAGGGCGAATTGCAAAGGTCTTTAAAAAGAAGGGTCAACACTGCATACTGAGTCTTTGCATAAACTTATTGTAATTGTCAATAAGAGCCTTTGACACTTATGAAATTCTTGTAATTATACTTCAGTATACCATAATAACATCTGACAAAAAGATCTAAAAACACTTTAGCAGCAGACTTCGTGAAAGTTAATATTTGTGTCATTCTCAAAACTTTTGGCCACGGCTGTTTATTATTAAGTACTGTAAGTGAACTGCAAAATAAGCTGAAAATGAGCTAAAATGGTCTAAAAATAATTAAATGAATAGCGAACAGTCATAGGACTTTCCCTCAGTTTGAACCTATAGTAAAATCTTGAACTTAAAGAATGTTCTTGTCCATGTTGTCTCCCAGTCCACACAATATACCAGTTCTAGGAAATTGGGTGAGAAGATGCTTGAAAAGAAGCATCTTTTCAAGCATCTTCCCCCCTTGAGTTCCGACTGATTTTGCTCAGGCAGTGTCTTAGAGGGGGATCAGTGTGTGATAGTGAGATCAGAGCGGAGCACTTAACATAATCTGTTTCTAGATCTATGTACCTATCCTGACACTGACTGAGTGAAGCAGTCAGTTAGGCTTCACTTCTTCCCAGCATGTGAATTATGAAGGGCAGTCAGGAACAGTGGGAGGATTTAAGAACTTTGTGTACTGGTGGCACAATGAGGTAGAGATTTGATGACTTTATGAATGAGCTATTAGGACATCTGTGACATACAACTCTTACATTATGACAGTGGAAGATCAGTCACTGAATGGATGTGTTGGCATGGTGATTGTTTATGTGGTATCTGCCTATGTGATTACATTCTGTGAGAGTCTCACAGTCTACATCCACACTATGCTGGGATTTGTGCACGTGGGTTTATTCTTGGCAGTTGCATTTTACAATTAAATGTCTGTATACTCTGTGTGTGTGTGTGTGTGTGTGTGTGTGTGTGTGTGTGACAGTCATTTTAATAAATACATTTCTCCCTGTCCCTCTTGTCTCATAGACTCTCCACCTGAGAAAACAGGGCGGAGACGTAGCATGCCAGGCTCTGCCCCTGACAAACCCCCGCCCACAATGGAGCCCACTGCTGCTGCTGCTACACCCTTCAGGGTCACAGTGAGTATTATATGTGTGTTTGTCATGTGTAAGAGTGTGTGCATCTGATCAAACACAGTCTGGAATCCAGATGCGATGCATACTGTGCCCATATGTATCTTATCTTTATTGCTACTACTACTTCAGATCTTTAGTATTAAAACTCTGTAGTTCTAATAAACGTTAGGTTTCAAGTCATTTTGTCAAATGCTAATTTCCTACTTGAGGCAATAAATGTGAGCTGTGGTGTTATTTTTAGTTAAAAAGCAAAAACCCAGTGCACATTCAACCAACTCGTTCAGCCAAATAACCGAACAGCTGAAACGCAAGATCCGGCCCAAAACCACAGGCTTAGACCAAGCCTAATATTCTAAGTATTAAGTTGAGGTCTGGATCAAGGCTATATTTAAAGGCTAGATTATACATCAGGATATTACACACAATTACAGACAAATGTATCCCAAACAAGCTCCATTTGAAGAGAATGTTTTATTGATGGGCATCAAGGAAGATTTAACAGCGTTCAAATGCTCACTGTAATTGGTATGATGTTGTAATTATATGTTTATGAGCGTGAGCTCTATTAGCAAAGGATGAAAAACTTCTCGTGATTGAAAGGCAGTCTGTTAGCAATCGTTTCAAATTGAGGCTCACATTATATGCCGGTTGCGGAAGTGAATCAACAGCAGGTGGTATTCAGTAGTTTTACCCTCTGTATACAATACAGTTCTACATAGTGTCCATATGGGCTTTTTATATGTGTTTGCGGCTTATCATTTCCTGAATGCAAATGTAATTACATTTAAATGAGATCTCTGAGGTGACTCGAGGGCCACTTGACCTCTGAGCTTCTGCAGTTTCAGGCCCAATTACTTGTCTAGCCTAGAGCATAGTTTGCAAATATCTCCTGTGAAATCAAATCATCCATGATCACAGAACACTGAAGCTTCACCATAGTTCTTCCAAGTGCTGTACATGTTTGAACAGGTTCAAGATGAAGAATGGAAGCCTTAGATGTCATTGTTTTAGATGAATGAGTGGAAGATGCCACATACCTTGATTGTTAGGTCAGTACATGGGCAATTAGGGAAGTAATTATATGAATGAATGAATGAATGAATGATGCATTTATATAGCGCTTTATTTGTTGATGCATTTAAAAAGAGCTTTATTGTTGCTTATTATAATCCCCCCGCTCCCCCCGCTGGTAGGCAATGGTACTGTACCCTTCGGAATCAGGAGCTCATGTAATTTTTCTCCCCTTTCTTTCTCTGAGTGCATTATTTTATCCTCCTTTCTAAACTCTTATTCACTGTGCACGAATAACACCATTAATACAAGGTCTGGTTTTGACCGTGAGGCATGAGCAGATGTATCGAATGACCTTGAGCATTCTTATATAAGAGAAATAGTGAAATAATTACTGTGCATGTCAAGAAAGAAGGAAGAATAGATTTGTTTTGTGAATGCTTTCAACTGTTTCTGCGGTAGTATAAAACCCACTCTGTGAACTAGTCGGTGCTGTGTGTGTGTGTGCTAAAGATGGAGTGTGGGAAAAGCAGAAGAACACAGAGAAAGTTTACTGGTGTTTTTTTTCTTTGGATTGATTAGTTACTCAGTAGCCTCAGGTTTGTGGATGCCATCATTTTAGAAGTGAGGGGGACAGAAATGTCAAATGCAATAATTCGCTTTTTTTTTGTCTAGTGGCAATTTTATGATTTGTTTATATACTACAGTTTTTTTCACTATACTTTTTTTCATATTTATTGCAGAAAATATATTATTCAGATACTTCATTTATTACCTGGCGATGACTTGAAAAACACACACAGACTATATATTGTCGCAATCGTGCATGTATTGTCTTTACATATTTTGTTCAGCTCAGCTACAGTGATAGCTGGATGCCTTTGTCCATATTAGGGATTTCCTGGCACGTCATGAGATATTACATCTATGAGTCTGTTTTGGACTTTCTGCGTGAGAGCGGCCTCCGGTTTTGGGTATGAATGAAACACAATGCAGGAGAGTGTTTAACACTGGCCGGTGTGCCCTTCCGTGCCTCCGCTGCACAGTTGAGCCGTTGTGATTTAAAGTGCTGAGTAACGTCATTTTTCCCACAATGTCCGATATTAAAATCAGTGAACACACTTTGCAAAAGGCGTGGGCAGTCGATATGGCTTTGAGACATGAAATTGAATTCTTCCATCCAGCTGTTGTTAAATTTACACATATATTTTGTTTTGTTTTGTTTTTCACCAGAGCACCACCTGAGTCTTCTCCCGTTTCTACCAGTGATGCTTATGTGACAATGAAGACTGGCGTAATGGCTGCTGAAAATTTTGCTTTGCCATCACAGGAATAAATTACATTTGAACATATTAACATAGTAAACCGGTATTGTAACTCTGTAATGCTGTTCTTCAGAGATCCACCAAATGCTGAAAATCAATTAATTTCGGAAATATCTGTCAAACCGATCATCAATACTCTCGCCTCTATTCAGAGCACTTGACATGACAACCTGGCAACATGAAATTATAAACTCATGACCTTCTTTGAAGCAAGCTTTGAAGCTTACTGCTTCAATATTTTTGCAATTCATGTTATGTTTGGACAGGGGAGCTTGTTTATTATTCAGATGTCTTCTTGTCATTGTCTCTCTCAGTCCTTTTCTGATTTTATTTTGTTTTCTTTCGATGCTAGCGAATGGTAGGCTGCAATACTCTGACTGATTGCTCTGTGATTAAGAGATGTCTGTGTGAATAGTAATCAGTAGGGTGCTTTAATTATGTAGAATATGCAGATGTGTTAATTGGTAGGGGGGAACGGCCTGCTTTCTGTTTGTTTACTAACAGTTTTTGTCAGAAACTTCTCATGTCTCTTGACTCGTCTCTCTTTTCCTCCAGAAACTCTTTCCACACCTTTTCTTATTCTTTCTCCGTTGCATTTCTCACACTTACTTTCTCACATTCTCGTTTTTTCCATTTTATTTCTACTATAGCAGCGTTACAGTGAGGATGAGCGGATCGTATTTTGTCCTTGACTCTCATTCTTGTCTTTCGGTACTTCACGCTCTCGCTTTCATTTTTTCTTTTTCACTCTTTCTCACTTTATGCCTCCCTTTCCTTTCCATGCCCTTGATGCCAACCTGCAGTCTCCATGGTAACTGGTGCCTAAAGGAAGTTGAGTCTTGAGCCGCAAAAATGTGACAGGTGCTTTCACAGAAAAAGGGGTTTATAATGTGGGATAATTAACGAGAGAGTGAATGTATGAAATGGTGGTGAAAGATCAAGATGAAATAAGTTTTTTTTTTCACTGCCTGTGACTATTATAATTTTTCTCTTATTCTCTGTCATTTCCTCATTAGGGGTTTTTGAGTCGCAGGTTAAAGGGCTCAATAAAGCGGACTAAGAGTCAGCCTAAACTGGACAGGAACAGCAGTTTCAGACACATCCTGCCAGGCTTCAGACCAGTGGACACCGACAGGTAAACAACAATTTCCCATCTTATTCCAGTCTTTATTAAAGCTGAAGTGTTTAATTTCTACACCTCTAATGTCATCTAGAAGAACCCATTCAGACAAACATTTGCTCTATAGAGGCTATAGAGCAGTGTTACTCATTGCGCGGCTCGCCAAGCTTTACTTTGTGGCTCACATGGCAGTAAATAATACGATGATATGATCATGCAGTCAATACAGATATTTCATAAAAACATTAAAAGCAAGCAGGGCTATAACATAACCCATTAAAAAACTCACACCATGTCTACACCGGACACGATTGGCACGATCCGACAAAAGACAATAGAACCCAGTGATGTTGTCTACACTGGATGCGGCGCGATGCGACACGATCCCCATCAGTAAACTAATGTCTCGTTCTCTTTATGACGAACTGTACTGACACTACGTTCAGATGATTTGCAACTGTAGTGTCCGGTGTAGACACGGTCAGACAGTGTCGGCTCTATTACAAATAATTTATATATTTTTTAAAAACCTAAAACAGCTGCATTACAAGATGGAAATATAGACTAGAAAATATATTTACACTTGCTTTGTCCTAAGTCCATCGGAGTTGCCAGTTTTAATCTTAGCTCTTAACGCCGAATGTGCACTTGGATGGTTAAATACATGATGGGCTAGTATAAAAAAAAGAAAATAACTTAAGGTCTTTCCAGCATTAAGGTAATCCTGCTTTTTTTTAAATCATCTTGTCTCAGTTAGAAATTTGACTGGTAAATGATAAAGAATGATAGCCCCTTTTGCATTGCATTGCACTGCATATCAGGGATGACAGATTGATAAAAAGACATGCTATTTATGACTGGATGTAACTTTTGATACTTTGCGGTAAAAGTGGCTCTCCGATTGACTTTGCCCCATCAGTGCGGCTCCCATGAAAAAAATAGTGAAGACCACTGCTATAGAGGATCTGTGTGTTTGGATAGTTTTAAACCAGTGCTTCTCAGTGACCATGTATTAAAATAATGCAATAAAATAATAATACATATTACAATTTAAATAATTATGTTCCGTAATTACAGGAATTTTACAAGCTGAATATATTTCAGAATTTTTCACTATTTTTATGACCAATGAGTTTACATGATGTTTACTATTATTCATACATTACTGCCAATTTCTGCCAAATAAAATATTTTAGAGCCTGAGATAACTAGAAAAAATCATATTTTTTATTTAATTTGAAATTAAAGTTGTTGAAATATCAAATTAAAATAAGTCTTTTTTTATTTTAACTTGTTTTGTCTTATTTATAATAATTTTAAGACTTATTGCGTCCCACTTGGAAATGAGTTGAGGCCATCTAATGGGTCCCGGCCCCGTAGTTGAGAACCATTGTTTTAAACTAGTTAAAATTATTATGGAACAAAATTATTTAAATTGTATTATTTATTATTATTTTATTGCATTATTTTAAAAAATGGCATTAAAATGTCAACTTGAATCTTTTAGTCACTGTCTTGACTGGAGATCAGTTGTGACAGTCATGGCAATATGTGTTACTGGAGACAATAAAAAGGCAGTTGGTTCTGACCTATTTTAAAACTTTACTGATTGTGAATAGAGATTTACTGTATGAGCGGCTGAATGTGGCAGTTGAGTCTTAGTATGGATGTTTTTGCATGTGTTTGCATTCTGTGTGCTAATTCCTATGGCATAACACCATATGCAAATGTGAGCTTTTGCATTTCCTCATGTCCGTGCTGCATAAAATGCTGCACAGTGAACAATGACGTGTAAAGAGAGTGTGTGGTCTGAAAGTTTGTGTGTCTGTTTAGCAGACTGGTTATTGAGGTCACTTTTGACATGCCTCTCTTGTCAGTGAAAACCGGCAGAGCTTTGCGGTCCAATCTGTCATCTGCCTCTTTCTCGGAGATGCTCCTTCATGCACCTTCTCTTTCCCTTATCCTATAAATATCCCTCACTTTAAACAGACTGCAGCTGTGCTCTGCTCTTGAGTTTTTGCTCATTTCTATGCAAATTTCTGGTTCGGAAAGTTTCGCTGTACTTTATTTTAACGTAAATTACTGTTATGCTCACAATTTGCAGAACAATAACATTTTGGTAGTGGTACTAGAAATAGACTGCCGTGACACATTTCAGGTCTAGCTGTTTATTCCTATTTTCTTTTCTAGTTTAAATCTTTAAAGTGGACATTAACTGAAGTATTGTGAAATGGGAGTCTGCTGTAAGACTAAATGTAAATCATATAGAGAAGTCCGGCTTCCAGGCATGCACTGCAAACAGCAGTCATGATAGACTGCCAGTGAAGCACACTTTCATAGCAGGACCCAAAATGAAATGTTTGGAGTCTCTTGTCTAGTAAACAGTTATATTTGCTCCTATTAAACATGTATATTTGGTGCTTTTAAATCCTATGAATTCCACAGTAGTCTACAGACAGTTTCATGTGGCATTACAGTCATATTCTGTATGATATCATTTACACTCTTATTTGATAAAATATCTATCATTTATTAATGTATTAATGAATTACATAGTTGGGAAAGCAGGATTCCATTCATTTTCAACATTTTCAAAGCAGTCATCATTTATTTTACCAGGTTGACCTCAGCCCAGCCACCCAGCTGATCAACCAGATTGAACTAAAGAGAGGGAGAGAATATATAGAGATATAGAGAGAGTGTGTTTTTTTTATTTTGACCTCAATCAGTACAAACCCAGTTTGTACTTTATCTGCGCTCAGTGTCGATTCCCTCGTTAATCTGGGCATTAACTGGCAGCGTTTTCCCAGTTTAGCTTTAGAATCTAAGAATTCCCAGTCAGTCACAGCCCTCGTTTTACCTTCTATCAGCAGCATTTACATCAGTCGCTGCTCTAAACCCACGGCCTGAGCTGCTCATCCATTCTTTACACAAATTAGAGATTATGTGCGGATACTGCTAATCCCAAAAGCATCTCATTTGATTGGATTAAGTGTAGTAATTGTCTGTGCTTTCAGCATGGCTTGGCTGGAGCAGATTATGGATGGCTGTGCTTGTACAGATAGGGGATGAGTACTCTCGACTTCTGTGGGGCCAAATGGATTTTTGTGTGCCCAATGCCCCGGCTGATGTGAGTGCATCTTACTTTTGTGCCACTTACAATCTGTGCTTGAATGTTTGTGTGTGTATCTCTGTGTATGTTCTGCATCATCGCATTAATTTGGCTGAAAATGACCCTGCGTTACCTGACTGTCTGATTGTGACTTCTGTTAGAAAGAGTCAAGAGCTCTTAATAGAAAACAACTCTGCTGTTGAAAGCACTTAAATTAAGGGATATACGTATACAAAGGCAGTTACATCTAAATGAATATTCATGATATGCAGTATCAACATGCACACAATTTTCTCTCATAAGTTGAACCATTTACCAACAAACCAGGCTGTTCTGTTCCGGTGGATGGAGAAGAGGGTTGTTTTTAGTGTGTAAACTGGATTTCAAATCAAATGAATGTCAAAAATAGACGTATTTAGTGGATTTCTTTTCTACTAAATGCTGATTGTTTTAGAAGGACCATTAATCTGCTTCGTCTAATTTTAGTTTTATAGTTTTGAGTCTTTAATTTTATATGACCATTTTCTACCCACTGTCTGACCTTAGAGAGCATTTATGTATTTATTTAATTGCTACTGTACCATTTTTGTTTTTTATATGTAAATGACTTCAGTTATGATTGGCTATTGACCGGCAGAACGCCGAATATTGAGGACGCAACAATATGTAAGTGTAGGCAGTGATATGCTCATGGTTGTGATGTCATAACCACAATGATTTTTCAAAAGTGTGTATGTGCAGTTTAGTTTTTTTAGAAATGATTTGTGGTAGGTGGATTAAGGAATGAATTTATAGTTATTCTTGTTTTTTGTTGTGATAATGACTTCCTTTGGGGGAAGTCGTGGCCTAATGGTTAGAGAGTCGGACTTGTAACCCAAAGGTTGCGGGTTCGAGTCTTGTACCGGCGGGGATTGTAGGTGGGGGGAGTGAATGTACAGCACTCTCTCCACCTTCAATACCACGACTGAGGTGCCCTTGAGCAAGGCACCAAACCCCCAACTGCTCCCCGGGCGCCGCAGCAAAAAATGGCTGCCCACTGCTCCGGGTGTGTGTTCACTGCTGTGTGTGTGTTCACTTTGGATGGATTAAATGCAGAGCACTAATTCCTAGTATGGGTCACCATACTTGGCCACATGTCACGTCACTTTAACAGTGATAAAAAAAAATTTAATATATATTTTGTTTAAAGAAAGTGTCATGCATGTGCATGGTGGGAAGCAAATATTTAAATGATAAAGAGTGCTACAAACAGGCATGTGAACTAGAGGTCTACAGGGGTCCAAAAATCCGAACCCGAAGAGACCCGTAAATGTGCTACACTGAACTGACCCGGACCCGTCTATTATTTTGAAAGTTGGACCTGGGCCCGTGCAGAACCGAGAAATGTCAAAAAATTTACTACCCGGAACCGATGCGGACCGTCAATTATTTGAAAGATGGACCCGAACCCGGCCGGGAAGACACAGACCCGACTGGACCCGATCGGCACATATTCCACAGCAAATTGCTATTAACAATGTAAGAAGCCTTCTCCCTTGTACCTGACTGCACTCTCAGAAATTAAAGTACATAATTGTACCTTTAGGGGTACAATGGCTTGTCACTGGGGCTGTACCCCCAAGGGTACAGCTTTTGTACCCTTGGCATAGGGTACAAATTTGTACCCTTGTGTTTTGTACCTTAAGAGACCAGTTTTGTACCCGTGGTGTCAATTTTGTACCTTTATTTAACAGTTCAAAAATGGACCCTTCAAAAAGGGTACAAAATTGGCTTTGACAGGGTACAATCGTTGACTA